GTGCTGATCCCTGTGGAGCTGTTTGCCAGGGCCCTGCTCTGCTCCTTGCCCTCCTGTCCCCACTGGAGCATCCCCTGGCACATGGGGCAGGACCATGACTGCCAGGGGAGCGGGACACTCCAGCCACCCCCATCCTGGTCTGCTGTGCCTCTCCCTGTGTGATCCACACGGAGCGTTGTGCCGTGGGAGGTGACACCCAGGCCCTAACACAGAGTGACAGCTCCTGCTCGGGGGACATTAACCTTGTTTGTCACTCCAGACGCAGACCCCAGGCTCCCGAGCAGATGGCTGCTGTCCCCATCCTGCTGCTCCCCAGGGATGCTCCTCCTGCGGCTCCGGGAGCAGCTGGGAAGGGCTGGGACACACTGGCCCTGCTGCCACCCCATCCGTGGGGTCGTGGCTCCCTGGGGTGCTGCTGGTGTCCCCCACTGAGCCCCTGGGGCCAGCCCTTCCCGGATCCTGCCTGTGGAATTCAGATGGAAACCACCAGGCTCGTCACAGCCCACACTAATGAGCAAGGGGGAAAAGGGTGTGGATTCTGGGAATTTGGTTGGATCCCCACATGGATGTATGTGGGGATAAAATGTATTCTCAACCTCATAAAATCAGCAATAAACTTTGGGGAGGTAACTTGGTTTGGGAAAGATGGAATTGTGTTGGATTTAGGCTGTTAGTGCTATTGGATATTCACCAGGTGTGGCAGGGAATGGGGAAGAGCAGAAAAAGTGGGATGATAGGGATATTTCCAGGGGGTGCTGTGGCCAAACTGGGATGTTGGGAGGTCTTGGGGAGAGGGGAGTGCAGCCTGCCAGAGGCCTCAAATCCCAAGGAGGCATTTTTCTCATCCAACTCTTCCCAGCAGTGAAGTGTTGAGGCCAGATCCTGCCGGGATCGGTGGGTGTGAGGGGCTCAGTGTCAACACTTCTCCTTCAGTGAGGCATTAGAATCATCCCTTTTAATACTCATCTCTGGGTAATTCGCTTCCTGATGTAGATTTATCAGCAGGATCAGCCACGGGAGGCTCAGCAGCCTGACCTCCTTCTGCAGCTTCCAGCACACTCTAAATCTCCCTTATTAACTCCCAAGGAGCTGTGTCTGCACCAGGAGGGTCATTAACTGCCTGTTCCTCCTCACCAGGGCGGAGGGAAATGTGTCACTGGGGCAAGATTTGCGACCTGAATCCTCGTGGTGGGGATGACTCTGTGCCTGCCTGGTCATGATCCCTCCCAGGAGCACAGTGATGCTCCTGGGAAGCTCCTGGAATATCCCACACCAGTGGACACCCTGTCAGTGGGACTGGGGTGCAGGAGGGGCTCTGGGGGGTGTTTTGGGAGGAGGGTGAAGCTCTGTTTCTCTCAGCCTGTTCTGCAGTGGCAGCCCCAGTGTGTATCCTGATTAGATTTCCAGGAGGGAAGGAAGGAGGTTTAATAGTTTAATTTCCACAATTAGAAAAATATTTATCGATAATTAGGCCTGATGGCAGTGATTACACTGGGATTAAAGCTGGGCTACACTTCATCACCAGCCCGTCACTTAGGGACCTCATTGAGTCATTTTCACCCCCCAAAAATATCCCGTGTCCAGCCACGTTGTTGCCAATAGTGAATCATCCTCGGACATTGCCTGCACAGGACTCCCTAATCCAATGATCCTGGAGGTTCTGGGAGGCAGCTGAGCAGGACATGTGGGTACTGGGCTTGGACAGGAGGAAATTTGATTTCACTGGGTAGGAAGGTGAACCAGAGCTAAAAATCACAACAGCTCTTCCTGTGCTTGTGGTTTGGAGCTCAGTGGTTCAGCCACACATTCCCCTCCAGAATCCCTGGTGTCTTTCCATCTCCTGCCTCATCCAAGCCAGGCTTCATTTCCCAATGCCTGTTCTTTTAAAATGAGATTTCACCTGTGAATAAAGTTGTAGGACCCTCAAGGTTTCCCCTCTCAGAAGGAAACATCATATTTCCAGGTATTTTTCCAGGTTCGTATCACCTGCCAGGCAGGAGGCCACAAGCTGTGCCACACCAGTGTCCCAGGCAGCTCTGTGATTCCTTCAGCTCCTCTTGGCTTAAATCTAGAGAAAAGCTCCGTTGTGGGTTAATAAAGCTGCTGCAGGGAGTCACAAGACATCCTTCCCACCGGAGCTGAGGTGTCAGCATCACCCGGAGGTGTCACCTCACTCGGCAGACACGACCCATCATCACTCTCAGCTCTGCAGTCAGTGCTTGGACACATCTTCCTTGGGTGTTTCTCCAGTGGGTTGTTCCAGACAGCTCTGATGGGAAAACAATGGGTTACAGCTTCCAGCTGGCAGGATATTCCTTGTCATTTGGGGATGTTTCAGAGCTCTCGTGTGCTGTTGGTACGTGCTGAGATCCTGGAGGTCTGGGAAGAGAAGGGGACAGGAAGTTTGGAGTTCTAAGTGTGTTATTTGTGAGGATTCCTCAGGCTCCTGAGGTGTTGTCATGGTCCTTGGAGCTGGGGCAGGTTAAAGTGGGGGGACAAAAGGCAGAGCCTTGCAGGGTGACTGGGGTTCTCCACCTCTCACCAAGAGCATCAGGTGCAGCTCAGGTTTCTGTGATTCCTCCTGGAAAACCAGAACAGTAGAGGAGCATTTGAGGAGGATTTAAAGGGGAGAGGAAGGATCTCACAGTTCCTCGTGAGCTGTTGCAGCTGTGGGAGGTAGAGAGGGATGGGAAAAGGTGAGGTGAGGTGAGAGCTGATCACAGCCGTTTGTAATTCCTGAGGTGTGACAGGGAAGGGAGTGAGGTGTGAGGGATGGTGTCAGCAGTAAAGGGCTCAGCTGCCTCCCAGGCGTGGAGCTCTGGCTGCGTGCAGAGACTTTCACCCAGGAAAGGTCAGAGGGAAGCCAATTCCTGTCAGTTATTTCATGAGCCTCCACAGAATTACTGACACAAACTCCTCTGCAATGTGACATTAAAATGTTTGACCTATTTTTCTTCTTTTAGAATCATGGGATGGTTTGGGTTGGAAGGACCTTAAAGCTCATCCATGGGCTGTCCATGGGCAGGGACACCTTCCACCAGCTCAGGTTGTTCCAAGCCACATCCAACCTGTCCTGGGACACTCCCAGGGATGGAGCAGCCACAATTTCTCTGGGAAATATGTGCCAGTGTCTCATCACCCTCACAGGGAGGAATTTCTCCCCAATATTCCATCCAAATTTCCATCCAACCTGGCCTGGAACACTTCCAGGGGTGGAACAGCCACAGTTTCTCTGGGAAATATGTGCCAGTGCCTCAACACCCTCTCAGGGAGGAATTTCTCCCTTAATATCCCATCTAAATTTCCCTCTTTCAGTTCGAACCCACTGAAGAAGTTGAGGCACTGTAAGAGCTTCTGGATTCGAGGAAGAGAAGGGAGTAGAGTTCATTTGTGACTCTCCATGGCACTTAGTACCTCCTCACTGCTTTTCCCCTCATAATTGATGCATGTGGCAATTCCTCTGCCCCGAAATAGGCCACGAGACCGAGGCAGCAGCGCTGAGCTCGGCTGCTTCATCTGCCTCAGCCTGAGCTGTGCTCAGTGTCCAGTTGGCAGGAGGTTAATCAGCCCAGGGGCAGGGGAAATGCTCGTTACAGCTCACTTTATTCCTCGGTATTTAATAAGTAATGACTCTGAAGAGCTCGGAGCGGGGTCTGTGCCCGTGCCGCTGCCTGCTGTGTTCCTGTCACACTGCATAAGTTAAACTGGGTTGAATCGGGAGGGTTTGTGGATGAATACCCACCAAGGAATGTCGAGATGCCGTAAGAAGTTGGGGGTGTTGGGTGGGAGGTGCTTGCTTTGTGGAAAAAGGAAGGAATGGCTCTGTGCTGGGGAGCTGGATACAGTGTTCTGTGGCTCTGTGTGTGTGCAGGGGTTAAGGTGAGTTCTCTGCTGTCCTTCCACAAAGTGAGTCTGGAAGGTAAAAAGTCCCACAGGGAAGAGCTGAAAAGCAGCTCTAAAAGCTCATGTTCTTGGAACTCTGTCTCAAGAGGCTCAGCCAGTCCAGCAGGCTCCAGGGCCTGTGATGGGAATGGGGAGCAGTTGGAGTTACTCCTGAAGCTCCTGACAGAGGTAAAATAACCTTTCCTGGCATTGCTCAGTGAGCAGCGTGATGGATCACTGCAGATCCAGCAGCTAACCCTCCACAGTGGATCGGGGTGAGGTTTTTCCAGGAAGACAACGTTCCCATGAGCTCAGAGCTTTGGCAATTGGTATCATCCGGTGAAGTGGTCAGGAATTCACAGCTGGTGTAAGAGGATCATCTGCTGGAGCAGCACCTGGAGCCAGCCGGGCTCTGCCGAGCTCCCATGCAGCTGGAGGGAAGATGCAGCAGGAGGAGGTGGAAGAGGCTCTGCAGCCTCTCTGCTTCCCCCAGGGCTGTTCCCTCTTTTTTTCTGGGGAGCAGCAGGCAAGGAGAGAACCATAACCTGCTCCCTGACCCTCCTGACTGCTGGGCTGTGTCATTTGTTACTCTCTCTTGTCTAAGACCTGATTTCCCTTTCCACTCGGGTGGCCAGGCTGGAATATGTCAGAAACAGAGAAATAAATGTGGCAAAACAAAGGGCAGGAAAATGAAAGCTTTTAATTCTCAGAGATTAAATACTCCAATTAATATCTGCTAGAAATTGCCCATGGAGATTTTGGCACGTGTCACTATGGCTCATGACCCCACCACAGCCACCTGCCACATCCTGCTTGGAATTGTTTGCAGCTCCTTTGTGTTCTCTGAGCAGCACAAAGCTGTGGCACGTCTGGTGTCACCACCACAAAACAGATTCTGCACTAAGCCACGTGACAAACTTCCTTTTTTTCCCCCACTTAATCACTTTTCCTTGCCTGAACACTGCAACATTTTCCAGTCTAAAGGGTCTCTGAACACTAAATCTAGGAGTAAATGGATGAGAACGTTTTGAAACTGAGCATTTCAGGATTGGCAGCTAAAGTGAAAGGAACATCCCAAGCCCAGGAATTCCTAGACAGCTGCTCCCTGGTTTCCAGCTCTAATAACAGGACCTTGCTCCATATTTTCTGACTTGAGGCCTCACGCAGATCCGACACGTCACCTCGTTGTTGGGGCTGTAAGTTCCAGGGCCACAAACCACTGGGAAGAGAACACAGTTGGGGTTCCAGTCAGCTCCCCCTTACCTTGGCAGGGCCATCAGACACCCCACATGCCTTTCCATGATCTCCCCCTTCCCTTCCCCAGCTCGTTGAGCCTCTGCTAACCCCCCAACCCCACACCCTGCGAAAGAACTTTACAAAGAGATTTCCAGCAGCCCTTCCATTAGGGAATTGCTTCTTGTGTGCTCTGGAGTCTGAGGATTGTCACTCAGTAGTGAGCTGGGAGGGAACAAAACCCACATCGGTGCTCCCACTCGCTCAGTTTGGCAGCAGTTACACCCGTGGTGAGCACACTGACACTCTCCACACGCTCCTTTCTTGTCCCTATCAGTGCTTTTAGTCCACAATGTGGATGTCTTCCCAAAGCATGGACAGAAATATCCATGCTTTTGGCCCCAGTACTTCCCACATCCTCCCTGGAGCTGTGGCCAGCAGCCTCGAGCTGTGTGGGGCCGAGCCCGTGCCGCACTCACCGCAGCAGCTGGCACAGCCCTGGTGGCTGAGCTGGTCCTTCCCAAAGCCTGGTCTGCAGCTGTCTATGGCACTGCTGAAGAAGCTGTTCTCCACGTAGTGAATGGTGGGAACAACAGGGAACTCCTGCTTCAGAACATCCTCCTGCTGCTGGAAAAACCTCTCAACCCGCTCTGTTGCCTAAAAGTATAGAATGAAAACAGGCTCAGTTGGTTTGGGTTGATGTAGAAGGATCAGTGAAGGCTTTGTGGTCCTGATTGCCACACATTGAGTGTCACCTCAGCTGGGAGGATTCCTTAGGTGCAGGGGATGCAGGATGTGAGTTGACCCCAGGATTTAATGTTTAGAAGCCAGAGAGAACAGATTTTAGAAACTGGCTATGGTAGACTTGCTTTCAATCACATTTCGTTACCCAAATCATAAAGATTCAGTTTAGAGAACTGGAAATTCAAAGCATTAATAGAAATAATAATAATGTTGATCCTTATTAGGAGCAAATATAAAGGAAATAATGAGCCTCATTTTGTTTTAAACTGGGGTTTTTTTCTTACGCTATTTGTATCAATTTGAATTGTAAACCCATTTTTCATCCTGAACTGAATGATCTGAAATCCCTGAATTGTCATTTACGATATTAATCCCAGAAAATCTGGGTGAAGCTGGATTAGTCCCAGTCACATCTGCAGCAGTTGAGGCAGAGGTGGGGGCTGAAGAGGCAGAGGAGACATGAGGTGACACAGAACCTCTCGGGCTCTCTTGTTTGTCACATCCTCACAGTCATAAGGACCCAGGCAACAAACTTCTTTCCATCCTGGTACAAAGGGAGTCACTGTGGGTGGAGAAAAAAAAAAGACACATGTAAAATGGGAAAAAAACACATGAAAAGGAAGAGGATATATGTAAAAGGGGAAAGACCCTTGTAAAAGGGGGGAAAAAGTCATGTAAAAGGGGAAAAAATGAAAAGGGAAAAAAATCCCACATGTAAAAGAGGAAAACACCAGATTAGGTCCTGGTGGTTTATGCAGTTACTGCTTTGATCCAGATAACAGTCAAAGGTCAACCAACAAAAATTGTGGGGCTTAAGTTTTATGTAGAGTTAGAAATCTTTGAGCCCTCAGTTTGTCCTGGATGTTTCTTGAGTTTACTGAGGGGAAAACAGCCACAAAACTGTTCCATGACCTGTTGGATGGTCACTGTTGGCACATGATGGGAAGAGATACAGGAGAGAATGTGGTCAGAGCATTGGTGAGTAACTTCCTTCCCTCGGTGATGAACCATCTGCACGTCAAGGCTGAGTTCACTGTGTGCAAGGTTAAACCACCTCAGTGTGGCCATGAGGAACCTGTGAGGCTCTTGTTTAAACCTCTGAGCAGTTTCCTAGGATCAAGTGAAAAATTCAAGGCCAGGGATGGCTTCAAAATGAAAAAGGGGAAATTCAGGTTAGATATTGGGAAGGAATTCCTCCCTGTGATGTGCTGAGGCTCTGGCACAGGTTGCCCAGAGCAGCTGTGGCTGCTCCATCCCTGGGAGTGTTCCAGGCCAGGCTGGATGAGGCTTGGAGCAACCTGGGCTGGTGGGAGGTGTCCCTGGTCATTACAGGGGTGGGACAGGATGAGTTTTAAGGTCCTTCCAACACAAACCACTCCATGATTCTAAAACCAGAGTGGCCCCAGACTTAGTAAAAATCAAATTTTGAAACACTAAACACGACCATTTTGCAGTGACACTAGTGGAAAACTCAAGGCATCTTATGGGCTGTCAACTTCCAACAACCCTTCCCAACCTTGGAAACAACCTTTCTCGCCAAGGCCGTAAGAAATTCCACACTAAACTCCCCACGAAAACTGCGTTTTAGCTCCATCTGTGGGTAACGACAAAAAATACAGGACTCCAAAAAACCCAGGGAACAGCTTTGGGAGGAGCTCCTGACTCTGGTGTATTTCAGCTGATGTTTAGAGCACTCGCAGGTGGTTTGTAAAACAAACGCTCCCAAACCAACACTGTTACCTTGAAACCTAACGAAGAGCTCGTGCTGGAGGCCAAGTTTTTGTGTCATCACGGAGTGGCACTTGTACGAGGACTCAGTGACTTGACAGGTCAGGTGGGAGATGACTTGGTTCAGGATCTTCTTTAGCTTCTCGAAGAACAAGTCGTTGGCTCTGAGGTTGCACTGGGACGTGGTGAAGCGAACAAACACCAGGTAGGCATGGTCAGCTTCCCTGTAGGCTGGGAGAGCACTGGAGGTCAGTTTGGAGGGTGATCACAGGTTGGATCTTCTGGCCTGGAGCAGGGACAGTGTGGTCAGCAGGACCAGGGAGGTGATTCTGCCCCTGCACTCGGTGCTGGTGAGGCCACACCTTGAATCCTGTGCTCAGCTCTGGGCCCCTCAGCTCAGGAGGGACATTGAGGGGCTGGAGCAGGTCCAGAGCAGAGCAACGAGGCTGGTGAAGGGGGCCAAGAAGGCCAATGGCATCCTGGGCTGGAGCAGGAACAGTGTGGTCAGCAGGACCAGGAGGTGATTCTGCCCCTGCACTCGGTGCTGCTGAGGACACACCTTGAATCCTGTGCTCAGCTCTGGGCCCTCAGCTCAGGAGGGACATCGAGGGGCTGGAGCAGGTCCAGAGAAGAGGTTGGATATCAGGAAGAGATTTTTTCTGGAGAGAGTGCTCAGGCATTGGAATGTGCTGCCCAGGGAGGTGGTGGATTCCCCATCCCTGGAGGTTTTCAAGCTGAGATTGGATGTGGCACTTAGTGCCATGGTCTAGTAAACATGGTGGGGTTGAACTTGATCTTGGAGGTCTTTTCCAACCTGGCTGATTCTATGATTCTATGGTTATCACAGTTCTTTGTGGCTGGATAATCTCTGATGCAAGTTAAACACATAAATGAAGCTCAGTCGTTAGTGGTGACAGGACAAACTCATCCTTGGCAGAACTGACCCAACACTAAGAGACATTTGGGTTTGACATGCCCAGGAATTTATGTGCTTAGAGGGGACTCGGCTCACAACGAGTAGTACAAAAAAGGGGGTGAAGTAACACAGAACCCACATGTCTGTAAAGCTGCAGTGGGTTGGATTGTGCCAATCCCATGAAATTACAGTGTAGAAGTGAACTTGATGGTGTAGAAATTGATGTGTTTTAATTTTTTTCCAGAACTGAAGTGTTTCCCAGGCATCTTGGGGCTGTTGTGCTGTGGGTGGGGAGGGGATGGTGGTGACTGGAGGTGGGAGGAGGCTGGAGAGCAGCTCTAGCAGGGACAGAGGGTCAATTCCACACTGGTTTGTGGTTGGTTTGGTGATCTCCCACAGGAGACAAGATCTTCCTTCTTTTGTTTGTTTGTGGTTTTTTTTTGTTGTTGTTCTTTTTGGTTTAGTTTGTAATCATGTCTTGCAATAAACATAGAATCATAGAATTTAGGGGTTGGAATGGACTTTACAGATCATCGGGTCCCACCCCCTGCCCTGGGCAGGGACATCTCCTCACTAGATCAGGTTGCTCAAGGCTCATCCAGCCTGGATTGAACACCACCAGGGTCAGGGCAGTCACCACATCCCTGGGCAACCTGTGCCAGTGTCTCACCACCCTCACAGGAAAGAACTTTTTTCTCACATCCAACCTAGACTTTCCCTCCTTCAGTTTGAACCCATTGCCCCTTGTCCTGTCACTGCAGTTTCTAACACAGAATTCCTCTCCACCTCCTTGTTGCCCCTTCAGATACTGAAAAATTGCTCTGAGGTCTCCACACAACCTTCTCTTCTCCAGGCTGAACAGCCCCAACTCCCTCAGCTTGTCCTCACAGGGGAGATGCTCCAGTCCTCTTGTCAACTTCATGGCCTCCTCTGGACTTGCTCCAACAGTTCCATGAACATGACCTTCCCAACCCCACCAACTTGCAAAGGTCACATGCTTCCCCCTAAGTTAACCATCTTACCATAAACCATGAATTTATAGGCCATAACCACTTCTGTTTCTCCTTGTGTCATAGTCTTGATGATTTGGTAGGAGAGAGTGCAAGTGTAGGCACCTGACATCCACTCCCTGAAACCCTTCACCATCAGCTTCCCTGTCTCTGCCATGTGCACATACATTTGCCCTGAAACAGAAGTATTAGATTACTGGGAAAGTTCAGGTTTTGATGCCTTTGGAACTTTGGAAGATGAAATCTTGTTCTTATACATAATGACAGGGATTCATGTTAGCCTGGAATGATGTAAAATTGATGACTTTAAGGATGTACTGCAAGTTTTCCTGTATCTCAAGCATTTGGATCTTTTACGGGGAGAAGAGAAACAGAATCCAATATCAGAGCTAATGGGAAAAGCTGACAAAGGGCCAAGGGACTCTTTGAACTCCTCTTCCTTTTGCAGGGTGATGTGAATAGAAATGAGGGAAATACTGAGTCTGAGCAAAGGGACTAACCTTTCAAATCTTTTCCATCTGGACCAATCCACAGGTACTTGGGATCTATTATTTGTTCTTCAGAAAGAGCCAAATCCATGCAGACCAGGAATGGGCTGTTGGAGAACAGCTTAACGTACACGTTCACTGCAACACAGAGTCAGGGGTGTGAAATGCTGACACGGAATGAAACCACCAACATTCTCATTAAAAATGTAGATTCAAAGGGGGTTTTAATATTTTTTTTTTCATTCTTGGTCTTAAAAACTGTAAGATTGATCTTTAATCTCCATTTCCTCTTAGCCAACATTCTGGAACTGTCCACAGTGTGGCTGGTGCTGACTGTGTGGAGACACTAGTGTCCCTCACACAAAATGTGGTGCAGGGGCACAAAATGCTACAGATTTGGAATGGGACCCACATTTGGATGTTAAATTTTTGTCAGTTCGTCATGTTTAGCCTGGAGAAGAGGAGGCTCAGGGGAGACCTTCTCACCCTCTGCAACTCCCTAACAGGAGGTTGGAGTCAGGTGGGGGTTGGTCTCTTCTCCCAGGCAACCAGCAGCAGGACAAGAGGGCACAGACTCAAGCTCTGCCAGGGGAGGTTCAGGTTGGCTCTGAGTCAGAGTTTTTTTCTTGAGAGAGTGCTCAGGCATTGGAATGTGCTGCCCAGGGAGGCGGTGGATTCCCCATCCCTGGAGGTTTTCAAGCTGAGACTGGATGTGGCACTTAGTGCCATGGTCTAGTGACCACGGTAGGGGTGGACTTAATGATCTTAGAGGTCTTTTCCAACCCGGATGATTCTATGATTCTATGATTTTCATCCTGTATTTCTACCCCCATCCCCTTTCCCCGGGTACTGTGTGTCGCTTCCATGTGTAGTGGTGCTACATAATGATCTTAGAACTCCAAATTACAGAACAACCAAGTACAGATATCAACCAGATGAGTTTACCTTCATGCCTGGTGTCACCATAGATTTCATTCTTTCTAATGAAGCGGATAGAACGCTCTCCTTCCTCCGGTTCTGCTCTCACTGTAGGGAGGAGGAATTGGAATGTCAGAGCTCAGTCTAAATGGGTGTCCTCTGAAGGGACACTCTGAGGCTCTAAAATCTGACTGTAAAGCCCCCAGGAAGGCTGGAAATCATTGGGATTTGGGCTTTGTTTTTCAGGCCATGGCACACTGGGATGGCCTTGCCTGAGTGCTGTGTCCCAGGGTTGGGTCTGGGGGCAGTGAGGTGTCACTAGACCACACACTGTCCCCTCTGAGGGGCTTCATCTCCCTCTGGGGAAGGTCCTGTGGGGCACTGTAGGGGACTATGGGGACACCATAAGGGACTATGAAGACAAATCTAAGGGACAATGAAGACACCATAGAGGACTATGGGGACACCATAAGGGACTGTGGAGACACCTTAGGGGACTATGGAGATATGTTATGGGTCACCACAGTGGACTATGAAGATACCATAGAGGACTATGAGGACACCATAAGGGACTATGGAGACACCATAGGGGACCACAGGGACACCTTATGGGACACCACTGTGGACTACGAGCACAGCATAGGGAACTATATAGACACCATAGGAAACTATGAGGACACCATGGAGGACTATGGGGACACTACAGGGCACTATGGAGACACCATAATGGGCACTGTAGGGAACTACGAGGACACCCTAGAGGACTATGGGGACACCATAAGGACACCATAAGGGACTATGGAGACACCATAAAGGACTATGAGGACACTATAAGGGACACCACAGTGGACTATGAGGACACCCTAGGGCACTATGGAGACACCATAGAGCACTATGGAGACACCATAACTGATACTGTAGGGAACGATGAGGACACCCTAGAGGACTATGAGGACACCTTAGGGGACCACAGGGACACCTTATGGGACACCACTGTGGACTATGAGGCCACCCTAGAGGACTATGGAGACACCGTAATGGACACTGTAGGGAACTATGAGGACCCCCTAGAGGAATATGGATACACCATAACTGATACTGTAAGGAATGATGAGGACACCCTAGAGGAATATGAGGACACCCTAGAGCACTATGGATACACCATAACTGATACTGATATCGAGAATAGTTCTTTTCCAGCCTTTTCTCGGCATCAATACTGTAGGGAACGATGAGGACACCCTAGAGCACTATGGATACACCATAACTGATACTGATATCGAGAATAGTTCTTTTCCAGCCTTTTCTCGGCATCAATACTGTAGGGAACGATGAGGACACCCTAGAGGACTATGAGGCCACCCTAGAGTACCACAGAGACACCATAACGGACACTGTAGGGAAGCATGAGGACACCCCAGAGCACTATGGAGACACCATCAGGCAACCCCCCCAACACCTCTCCCTCTCTCTCCCCCCTCCCCTCGCTCCTCTCTCCCCGTCCCACCCCTTG